TATAGTCTCCGAGCTGCATTTAAACTTTCACCGCTTAAAATGTAACACCGCACCATTTCGTAATATTCGCGATTGGAATACATTCCGACGCGCGAAGTGTGGGGCTGCGGCGGGTGGCGCGCAACACGGAAGCAAAGGCGGAAGCGCGTGCGTTCAAAGGGATTATGCGCGGGTGACTGATGTTGCCGACTAAATAAAAAACCGAGCAGATATCGTCGGCGGTGCATGCGCGGCGCATGCGCGGCGCATCCCCTGCGCCCGCGCCCCTTGCTACCCCTGCTCGTTTCGTTCATAACTAATGTGACAATGCGAATGTTATAATTATCTTGTAATTACAAAAAGTTTACACTTCATTTTGAAAATTTTACATACTGTTTTTTTTTCATATATGTGATCTATTAACGATACCTAATGCCTAGAAAAAATTTGGAGAGTCATTTTAAATGCGAATTTTCATGTCCGGCGGTCCGATTTTTTCAGGTCCGATATGTCAGGCCATATGTAGGTAATGCGCGCTTGTGCACTGTCAGGAATTTTACCGTCCGGAATTTTACTTTTCTCTATTCCGGACCGGTTTTTTCAGGTCCGTGATGGCGGCAATGAAAAACGTGTTTACGCTTGTGCACTGCTGTGTCCGAGATCCGGAAAATTCATAAGGAATAGGCTTGGGAAAAAATAATCGATTTGAATCGATATTTATTTCGGCAATATTGTTAATTTCCAATAAACTTATAATCGATATTTATTGTTGATTATAAAATGCTATATTTTATATGATGATTTAATATAGTTGGTATATATCACTGCATATGCTTTGGCAAACTCGGTATAGTTCTAATTTGATCAGCGTATGGTTCTAGTATCGATACTTAGCTAGATTTTAGAATCGTATTAAAAGTATCGATAGCTTAAGGTAAGATAAATAAGTGTTGTTACGCTTAGACGCCTAAACAACTGAACCATCTAAATCTAAATGGAAATTAATATAGTAAATAGACTTAACTTTAAGAAAGGACATAGGCTACATTTTATCGCGAAAAATAGGGGATGAAAGTTTGCCTGGAAATTTGTCATTATCAAATTTTTTTTAGACAATTGATAAATAGATAAATATTTGACAACAGAAGTAATAATAAAGAATAAACAGAAGATTAACAAAAGTAATTAAGTGACACTCAATGTCTTTTTCGCATTTAATAAAATTTTAAATGTATGTTTGTGTCATTAATAAATTTAAAAAAAAAGTATTCTAAGGGAATAATATTTCTGCTCAAAGAAACGTAGATTACGCAAAGAGACTTCTTTTTTTGTTTTCGGTTAAGTTTTGTATAAACTTCAGAACTGTTTTTTTTCATCTCTATTTCAAACTAGCTTTCGCCAGCGGCTTCGCCCGCGTGACCCTAGGGAAATGTTTAGTGGGATAAAAAGTATCCTATTATCTAAGTCAGCTAATACCCTATCTGTATACCAAATATCATCACAATTTGTTCAGTAGTTTCGGCGTGATTGACATACAAACATCCAAACATCTAAACATCCAAACAACCAAACAAAGAAACATTCACATTTATAATATTAATAGGATTGCATTGAATTGGATTAATATCTCTAAAGTTTCAAAGAGAAAGTGCTGAAACATATTGGACATTCGTTGGTATTTTGTTGTACTATCTTCGAACTTAAACATCATGGTAATTTCATCATCAGCTCAAAAAACAACAGCGTTTTTGAAAATATGATGCTCAAAGTAACTATCACGCGGACGAAGTCGCGGGCAAAAGCTAGTAATAGTATATTCTAGGCAGCTCTCATATAAAATGACTTGGTCACGAAATCAGTATTTTGGGAGGGGGTAACTAAAGATAAGTTAGGAAGACCGCAGATCTCGGATAGGATCAAAGAGTAATGTAATATAAAAAGGGGATAGGATTCGAAGAGTAAAAGATGAAGCGTTCCTTAAGCAAATTAAGTTCCTAATGCAAATGGACGAAAACTTAGTGAGTAATCACTCAAGGAGCAAAGCACTGATTTTCCTACATATATTCCTACCTACATATGGCCTGACATATCGGACCGAAACAAATCGGACTGCCGGTCCTGAAAATTCAGTGTAGTGAACAAACGCCCTTACAGTACTTCTGCCTTTAGTAATACACTTACAGTGCTTCTGCCTTTCATACAATATACTAGGGAGGGACGTATTATGGAGGGACTGATAAATTATTACTATGCAAGGGGCGCAGGTACCGTCACCACGGGACGATAGATGATACGGGACCTTCGGGCTACACGAGTCCCTAACGTGTTAAAGCAAAAAATGTTACCCTTTTCTTGGGCCCTATCAATTTATTTTGATACAGAGTCTCTGTAAGACAGGCTACGCTACTGATGATTTGTAACATTCTCTCGTTTAAAAATAGCCAACGACGAAAGCTGATATGTAGTTTATGTTTACAATACAGCAAGATATAGATGGCAGGTAAACTGTATGCAATAATAAACAAAAAGTTGACGGAAAAACATTTATTGAATTTTTCGTGTAGTGTTAATGGTTTAAATTTTTGGTATTTCTCAAAAAACCATGGCTTGCTTTTTTGTACACTCAACAGCACGTCATTTTACACAAATCTGTCAAATTTCTCCACATGATTTTAAACCTTAATATTTTGGTGATAGAATCATAAAATTATATGGAGATATTTTACATATTCTGGTAACCTGACGTGCAGCCGTGTGTACGTGGCATTATGTATATAAAAATTATTCCGATATTAATCCGGGAAGACTTGGAAAGGTACCTATTTAAAAAGTTCAATACAATAATTTATACATAACTATACAAAGTAAATAAGCAATATTATACATAATGAGAGGGAAGCTTATGGCGGCACAACATTCTAAATATAATTTAATAGCTGTGTAGCAAAAGTTTTATACTACCCTCTTCTTGCTTAAAACATAGGTATTGAAGTAAGACTTACAATCGCCGTGCCGTACGTCTTAATCACACTATGATATTTTCCAGCACCAAAATAAAACTGCCTTAAGGGGGACGATAGAAGGCAGGAGTCTACACTTCAATTTACAGCAGCTCAGCACTGACTTACCTACAGTTTGGAGTCTTTTGCTAACCTCGAGTAAATCCGGATTATATCAAAGTGACCTGTTACCTGGAGGTCCCGGAGTCTACAAATATATGGTGTACACGCAGCAATTCGTCAACCTACCACAATATTTCTATGCAATCGATTTGGAATTCTACCATCAATACGTTTTAAAATTTAAAATCGAGGGGCTAATGAGTGTGCATGCAATGTACACCTATACTTGTTTTAATTGACGATATCTAATCGATTTTCAGTTTTATTAGTATTTATAGATACAATGGTGCCAATTCTGTTGTACCACTCTCTAGAGTAAACTAAAAATATAACCTTGCTTTGATTTTGTTTAAATTTTATTTCAGTCAATGTCCTAATATTTTAATTATACTTAAATATGATAAGTTTACATCTGTTATCTTTGTTAAATTCACAATCGAATATGTGGTTTGACAAGTCTAAACCTAAATTTACTCTAGTTTGAGTACCTAACAGAATTGCTACCAATGTTTAAATAGTTATTAAAAAAACAACATTCATTTATTGGCTTACATTAACTGAGATCACTTTGATTGCTTGAGTAAAAAAAAAAAATAATAATAAATTCATTTGCTTAACCATTAATAAAATAAAATTAAAAAAAATATAAGATGCCAAATGAAACAAACATTGCATTTTCCTGTAGCATTTTTGGCACTTTACACTTTAATAATAATTCATGCAAACGATATTGTTCATACCTTTGGAAGGTATTATTTTTTTACATAAGAGCGTTTTAATGCTACATTTTACCACAAATAGGACGGTAATAATATTAATATATTATATTAGGTGCTTTAGTGAACAACTGCAACATTATGATATTCTGTGCGAAATAAAAGAAAAATAAAATTTAGTTAGTTTTTTGAGAATTATGGTGAAACTGATTAACATACATATAACAAGTTTAACTTATATGAATAGGTGAGATGTTTCTTATACGCAAGTATGGTGGGATTTATGGTAATTTAACTTTAAATAAATAAAAATCCAATGAATATTACTGTTTACACTATGCATATCTCCTATACTAAGACAAACTATGGAAATGTGTACCTATCTTTGTAACAACACTAAATCCTATTCTTAAATCATTTAAAATAGTATAGTAACTATTATGCCATAGGAAAAAATACAAAAAATCATCACAAAAATAATCTTTGGGTTCAACTGGCAAGAAATAAAGTACAACAATCACATCGCAAACTTAAAAATAACATTGGTAAAAAAACAGACCCTGATAACTAATATCAATTCGTAAGTTTGGTATTTACTAAAGTATCCCATTGATGTGGATAATGAACGCATATAATATTTGATACTTACTCAAATTTATAAAAGGGGAAAAATAATAAATTTAAAAGTAGGTCATATTAAATTTAAGCTTTTCTATGAATCGAATATCTACCAATAACATGTATATTTTTGAGTATTATTCAAGGTAATCTATCAAAATATATTTTTACAGGATGGAAACTATATGGCGAACTAATTTACCTACGATTGTTGGTTAAACCATCAAGCAATCCAGTATTCATAATATAAGTAACGATATTCTATATAAAATCTTCTTCATTTAAATAATTGGAATCATTTATAGTTTACAAATGTATAGATATATTTAAGAAGTATTTGCATTGAATTTCAGATATTCACAGTTAAATGAGATTCGTGATCGTTTTTACAGCCATTTCATTTGCCACATTTTTCTATTGACAGCTTATTTTAATAAAATAGATCCATCGTTATACAGAAACAGGTTCTAATCATGAAATTACTAAGAAACTTAACTAGATTTCTTCTATTAATTTTGTTATTTTGGCATTGAAATGACGAGCAAATTATTAAAATAAAAAAATATTAAATTCCTTGAGTAAGTGAGTTTTCCAAAACAATATCAAACTCATCCAATGGTTCCAGTATTTGGCGAAGGAATGTGAGAAGACCGCGTTTGCGTAGAAAACTCTGTTCTTCGTACATCTCCATGGTAACTCGTGTCATCGACATTGGTACCAGCATTCTATGAAGCCAATGTTCACTGGAACAAAAAAAACATATTTATATAATGAATAATATGGTATATTGTGCGAATAATTTATATTTAAAAAAAAATTGGTTTCAACAAAAAAGTATTACCTCAAGGAGGTATAGAATTAAGTCTATCATTGAAGCAGAGGGTACACCACAACTTTATACACATAGTTACTGTAAAATATCGAATTTCGTAACCAAATTTTACACTCTTCTCCCAAAGAACTAAGTTTCAAAATAATTTGGGAATGACGATTTGATATTTTGTTTAACCTGATATGCTATAGCTTGCATTGGAAAATCCCAATTTGCACTTGACTTAAGTCTACTTCAATTTTCCCGTTACAATAAAATATTTACCGTAGGCTAAGACAGATGAAAAGTTGAAATTTGCCGTCTTTGCCCAGCGTACGGCCCACAGTGTTGATCTCGTCCATAAGATGGCAGTAGCATCGCCATATTGATCGGTGCTCTTGATCTTGCCGACAGTTGTATGCAACTCCACAGCTCTTGTTGTTCTGCGCGTTGGTTTCGTCGCATAGACTCAGTTTGAATTCATCTTTGACACGTGCTGAAAAAAATATAACTTTGATATTTACTTTTGTTTTTTGTTATTAATGTCAAACAATATCATTTGGAGCGCAGATAGGAGGCAAAGAAAAGATGTGGACGTTATGGTATGTGATATGACATATATTTTTATAATATCTATTATTTCGTAAAATAAAAACATTAAACCTAGTCTAGCCATATGTTCCGTTACAAAGAAAACATCCGATAATTTCTAAAAAAATAAATTTATTTTAAAGTTTTATGTGATTATGTATAGTGAAAAAGATATGTTAACGTACTAAACTAGTTATTCGAAGTGTCCACCTTTAGCTTTAACGCACGCTTTAAAACGGTCGGGCCATTCATCGATGGATTTACGAAGGTTTTCCATCAGAAACTTGGTGACTGTTGTTTCCAAAGATTTTTTGAGCTGCTCAATATTTAGGTGACGCTTAGAGTAGGCCATGTCCTCTAGCACAGACCACAATTTATAGTCTAAAGTCCTAACTAGCCGAAGGCCAATCATTAGTCTTTATGAAGTCTGGAACATTTTGCTCAAGCCAATTTGGGTAGTACGCGCCTTATGACCCGGGGCTGAATCCTGTTAAAATGTCCACGCTTTGTTTTTGAATAAGGTATTGTTGAGAGGTTTAAACACCGCTTCTAACACGATATATACCATGACGTTTGCTGGATGATGGCGTCGCTGAACTTTGTTCACTCGTTCATTATGTTTGTTGTAGTACTCCTTGATTGTAAAAAATTTTTCATCATTATAGAGATTTTTTCTGTGTTTTTCGCCCGCGTATCGAAGTAAAAGCTGTTTTGATCTTTCGAATCTCTTTTGTTTTAGTGCCTGATTTAAGGTATGTCCTGTGTATTGCCGGAAAGCCCCTAGCCCCACTAGATCTAAGTCTTGTTTGATAATCAGAGAAAGTGTCCTCAGTGGGATTCTCATTTCTCTGGAAAGGATTTTCTGCTTCCTTAAAGGGTTTTGACGAATTCTGGCCTTGACTGCATTAACGGCCTGGTTTGTTCGAATAGACCGCGGTCGGCCGGATCTCCCACGCTCATCAACAGACATGGTTTCAGTGTACGTTTGGATGGTATAATACACAAACATTCGGCTAATCCCTAGCTTTTTCAATGTATCAAATATTTCGGCTGGCTCCTTACCTATCCCAGCTCCTGTTCCCAGCTGTTGTCCCACGACTTCGGACACATAAATTATAGCCTATGTCAACCCCGTATGATATAGCTACCCGTAGGTGAAAGATTTTGTAAAATCGGTCCAGTAGTTTCAGAGCCTATTTGATGCAAACAAACAACCAAATCTTAACTCTTTATAATATTAGTATAACTAATAGTATTATCTAACAGCACAGTCTTCAAATTCTTCTAACATATTATATGAGTCGAGCATGCCTGATATACTTACCGAAATAATCCCAAATGAAAAGATTCTTTCCGAAAAGACGTGCAGATTTAAAACCGCATAGAAATGCCTGCTCCAAGCACTTCACCAACCCATTTTCACCACACAAGAGTATGCTAAGTGAGTTAGCATCCTTTTCTCTTTTCGATTGATAATGCCACTTCACAATGGCGTTTACGCAATCACCTGCAATTAGTGCAATGAATTGTAAATTATGTTTAAAAACATATTGACTATGCTATTTTTATACAGGGTTTTTCGAGGTTGTTGGTTATGAAGCACCAACAACCTCGTAGGACTAGATCGATATTATCATTTATTGTCATAACGAATTAAGTTGAGAATAATTTTCATTTTTTCCATACAAAAATAAATTCTAAATTATTTACTTAATGTTAATATAACTCTATAGGCATCTAGCGTCATGTCAGTACTTCACACGACGCACGAACGTAACGTCGTGATTTTGTTCATGAATAAAACGTAGACCATGAAAATGTCCCGATAGTAGAATGAAAGAAAATATTTTTTGTTTGAAGTATTGAGTTATCCTTAAATTCTTAGATCAAATGATATGCTAGTTAGCTGTGTGAGGTTGCAGGCGTTTCAAAAAATCTCTGTATTTTTCATATAAATATTTGAAAACAAACAACTGCGGTTACAATTATTGTACCATTATCATATTGTATGTTTTGTCTTAAGATATATGTATTTGAAACAATATTTCACATATTGCAATTGAGATTCTTTTGTTTGATTCTCAAAATAATATTAATGAACTGAAATTTTAAACAAAAACTAATTTTATAATAATTATCAAACTAGCATTGTGAGTGGATTTATCAAGTATGATAGAAGGATTCATATTTAAACGTACCGATCATGTGTTGTATCGTAGATGTTGAGAGATGCGTGGTGGTGGGGGTGGGAGGTAACGGCGCGGGGGGAGGGGGCGCGGGAGTTCGCGGGGTGCGTTCATTCCGCACTCGCGCTGCTAACAACAGACGTTCCGTCGATCCGTCATCTACACCAGTACCCAACCATCGGTTGCAAGGGAACCTGAATCATATTAACACTACATTAAGATTGAAAATTGTTTATTTTACACAAAAGTACCGGTATTTATACAGTGTCAGTTAAAAATCGAATATCCAATATTTTTTCCACACGTTGTAAGTTAAATTTTATCGACAAAAATCGATACAAAAAGTGTTGCACCCTTAACACCTCTGTATATATTAGAGCCATTTTAATTTCTCGTATTTTCGACCTCATTTAGCCTTTCTAAAACATTTTATACTCTTTATAAACAGGCAAGTCACCTTTTTGCACTATTCCAATACGTTTTGAACGGTAAAACGAAAAATAAACTCCAAAATCCTTCGCCAAACGATTATATTCCTTAAGTACATGAGTCGTATGAGATAATTATTTAATTTTCCTTCCCCATAAGGGATACATGTGAAGTTAAACTAAAGTAAGTAAGGCTATATGCATAATAAAAAATGACGTCTTCAGGCATCTTAAGCCGTTGCTAATAGATGTATTCGACTAAATTTGTTATTAAACTTACGTGTATGTATGTCCCGTAACTTCGTTGCGAACATAAACTTGATCTAGCAACCATCTCGGTGACAAGCCAGAGTTATCGTGGCCAATTCGTAAGGTTGACAGAATGCCCAAGTTTTTATGCTAGAAATAAAATATTAAAGTACATACATTAATATATACCAAAATGGTTTTTAGCTGTGACAGAATACATCTCAAGCCGATCTTTATTAACAGGGGGTTTACTATCACTTCTTACAACAATGTTTAATCCATGCAGCGAGTGGGACAACGCTATACGGAACAATAGCGATGTCATGATTAGGCCCCAGTACTATATTCAAAATACATATATCGTTAAAAACCGTTAATCTCATTAATTTAACGGGTATTGCATTAATTAAGTATCGGTTCAATTACGATATCAATTAAATCATCGTCACCGGTTCTACTTCTTCCTCTTTTTTTATCGTTTCTTCTTCTTAGATCAAACTTCTAATTTATAAAACCTCATTAAACTTTACGTCAAGCCAGGTTTTGGAGTTTATTGTTTAAATATAATACACGAACATATCGTTATTATGAATAAAACAACATGGTTTTGTACTACTTACATGAAAAACAAATTCGTTGGTATTACGTGGAATGGGTATTTTGGGGGTAGATTCTCTGTTCGTTCCTGATATAGATATCCAGCAATTGGCTGTTGTTTGGCTAGCTTTACGTGATGGCACAATTAAAACTCGATATGGTAATTCTATAAGAAATGTAAATACAATTTAAAATTCTATAAACAATGAAAATACAATTTTATTTATGTTGTTTGTAGCAATTTTACCAACCAACCAAAAAAATCTATAAATGTATGTTAGTGAACACGGAACCTGTATGGGATGCGAAAGTCTTAAATGATTACATACAAACGCGTTTTTATCTGCTCATTAAAAAAAAGTACTTAATAAGCTGTGCGCGTGTGAATATTAGATACCAGTATGTTCACTGTAAGTGGGCTAGAATTTATTGTCTAGAATTATCATCTCAGATAAATAAATTTCCTTATAATATCATATTTGCAATATTGTTTTAAGATTTCATGGTCATTTACATAAGAATGATAGTTTTTAGCGGAATTGCTACCATGTACCGTGTTTTGTTGAGTTCCCGATATCAAAAAAGCAGCCGTCACGGAACATTTGATTGATTCGAAACCTAACCATTGGATCGAGCTACATATTAGCCACTGATTATCTCGTCTGAACTCTTCTACATGCCAAAAATAGTCTGGGCAACCATTGATATAAAAAGCACAAAAATTTCAATCATTAGGACGGGTTTAAATTGTCCATTGTCTGGAATGGTGGTAGTGGTTCGCATTTCTCAAACCAGAGGATAAATTAAAAAAGCGTTGTTTGCTTTCCCGATACAGTGGGCGTTGTGTCATGAACAGGTGCCAGTTAGTAGTTACAGTGAACAGTGGTACGGGTATCGAACGAAAAAGGACGAGAGAGAAGGTAGATATATCTGCCTATGATACCCACCCGCAAAACTTCAGTTAAATATCGGGAACTGAACAAAAACAAGCAATTCCACGAAAAACTATCATCATTCTAACATATTTCTATTATAGTGAAACGATATCGGGTTTATATTTTCTCTCAGATCGTAAAAATAGGAGTATACCCACTCCTGTATTACTTACTAGTGGTGGGATAAGTGTTGGTAAAGCAGTAATAGTCTACAGCGTTTAAAGTGAGCAGGTGATATAAGAACTGTTCCCTTTCCTCTTCGCATCGCAGGAAAGCTGTTCTCTTATATTGTGATCGTAATAGCGTCGTATCAGCAAGGAGCTCTCGAAGATGTTTTGACAATAGCTTTTTCTCAAGAGATAAGCGAACCCACGCACGAGCGTAACCTATTTCTGTTTTTATATCAGTCATTGCTTGAACGTTCCTGTAATAATTTAGTTAGATTACTTCAACATTCAATTTTACTGCAACTGTGGTATCTTTATTAATTAAAGTACACTCCTGAATAAAAAACATACATATTATCTCTTAATATAATTTGACCTTAAGATTATTTGACTCTTGGCGTAAGAAAATTTCAATTGTTAGTTCGCGAGACTGATAGAACAGAAAAAAATCTTTTCATGTCTTCCTTTTCTTCTTTAAGAATATTGTTAAACTAAGAATATTCTTTTAGTTTTACAATAACAATAACCAGATAAACACAATCATGAACAGCAACAGCACATTAGTTACCCAAAACACAATTTTCTGTGATTCATTATTAACCTTAAAAAGTGTACATACACGTTGATATTTTATACCAACTTGATGTGCTAAGTCGTGTACATACGGAACGTGTTAATAATAAAAGTAAAGGATAAAAACTTGTCTTCTTCGATATTGCGATTATTGATAAGGATAGAAATATTTGATATTCTATCTATTTTACTTACCTCATGTCAAATGTAAGACTTTGAGGCAAAGGTCTCATCGGGTTGGGAGGTTGCGACGGTTTGCGCTCCAGAGTCCCTGAGTTGCTGAGTCGATCTCGTGAGCTATCCCGAGACCCACCTCGGGAACTATCACGAGATCTACTGCTGTTGCTAGAACTTTGTTGCGCCTCTACTTCCGCACCCACAGATGACAGGTCTAAAAAATATTAATGTATTAATATGAGAGTATTTTAGCAGTTACCTGAAATATATCGAAATAAAACACTAGTAAATTTATATAAGACCGTCTCCTAAATGAAAATCATCATTGAAAATATTCCTTTAGTTGACTTTATCGATTTGCGCAGAATGATTTTGATTTTTCATCTTCCAGCAGAGCGACCTCCGAACTCCGAACTAGACTGATTCTAGCCGTAGGTACACCTTACCGATGTTATAACGATATTTCGTTTTATGTTACTTCTTTGAAATGTCGTTTGGTGGATAAATTTGGTAAAAATGGGTAAGCTGGTAACACTACTATCAAATCTATAAACATCACCATTTATCGTTGGTTCGTCATTATTAAAATACACGTCAAAGTAGTAAAATGAAACAAAATATTGGCATAACATCGATAAGATGTCGTGTACCAACTTGCTTCAACCCACATTTACTTACCATAAAAATTTTATCATAATTTGACCGCATTTTTGAGATATTCGAAAAAAATTATAAAGGGCACCCATATATTTTCTATTGATATTTATTTACTGTGATTATTAGCCCATTTTTTTGTTATGGCTACCCCATTTATTATTTATATAGAAATGCGATTAAGGCCACTTAAGAAGTGAATTTGCACGATATGCATTACTACACTTACGTGATAACACTCAACTGATATTTGATTTTGCGGTCTTTATCTATGAAATTGCCATTCAGCCGTACTGGCCGTCGTGGCAGCAAAGCGGCATGCAACATCAACGACGTAACGGAGCGAACACTACAAACGAACGCACCACCCGTTATTGGTTAGCCCGCTTCTGTTCTGTCCTGAAAAATGAACCCCGTGGTCATCCGAAAACTGGTCGACAAAGACGAATTAAAGGTGATCACGGAAGCTGATGAAACTCAATCAACAGCTAAATTAGCAAGCAGCTTTCGACGTTAGCATCCAAACAATATTGGTCTATTTGCGTCAAAATGGCAAGGTGAAAAAACTTGACAAATGGGAACCTCACAAACTCAATGATCGCCAGCCCGAAGTACGCGTCGAGACGTGCCTTGCGCTGCGCAACAGGTATAAAAATGAAGAAATTCTGAACAGCATTGTTTCTTGTAACGAGAAATGGATTCTGTTCAAAGATCGCAAGCGCTCAGCAAGTTAGTTGAACCCTGGTTCAGCACCCAAACAATGCCCTAAACGAAAACATATCCCTAGAAAAGTGATGGTCACTGTATTTTGACTTTATTGTGACCATCACTTTTCTAGGGAGTAAATCGGGTGTAATTCATCACAGCTTCTTACCAAACGGGACGAGCATTACTGCAGATGTGTACTGTGACCAACTGAATACAATGATGCAGAAGCTCGCACGTCTCCCAGGAGCTTTGGTCAATCGTTCGGCGCCACAGCTCCTGCACAACAACGCGTCAAGCGACCACATACTGCACAGCAGACGGTCTTCAACCTACAAGAGCTGGGATTGGAAGTTCTTCGTCATCCGCCCTACTCACCAGACCTTGCGCCTACAGACTTCTACTTTTTCCTGAATTTGGACAACTTCTTGGTGGGAAAAAAAATTCAATACCCGAGAGGCAGTACAAAATGCCTTTGAATAATTTGTTGCCTTCCATCCAGGCGATTTCGTCAAGAAAGGCATCAATAAGCTACTAATGCGTTGGCAAAGATGCATTGATTGCATGGGTGATTACTTTGATTAATAGAAATAAAAAAAATAGGCTTCATTTATTTCATGAAAAACGGCAACTTCATAGGTAAAGACCTAATATTTTTAACAAATAAGCAGGCACCATAAACGCCGACCGGCGTTTTCCAAGAAAACTTACTATCTCCATGCAGCATTTCACTTCAGAATAACTATCTCGTTACGCCACATTACAAAAGTACCTATTCAATACTGTAAATAGTTTTATTCATCAAAATAACAATACGACTCAAATGTAGCAAAAACATGGATCAACCGACATAAACGACCAAAGAGTAATGGTGTAAGAATAAAAGTAAAGATTGACACTTGACAGTTCCATATTTCGGTGTCCGTTATGCTGTTTTGAGTTTCTAATAAAATATGCAATGTTTTTTTTGTTAATTAGAAAAAATAAAACTATTGAATAATAATTATTTTACACTATATTTATGCATTTGTGAACTTAGACGTCAGCTAAATGAAGATATTTATATAACTTTCATTTATTTATTTTTCAGATATGAATCTTCTACGGAAATAAGCGAATTATGAATTATTTATGATCACTTTTAATGCGGTCAAAAATATGGCTAAAAATCAGTGGTAAATACATATAAATAAAACATTATTTTTTGGCAATAGTGAACTTTTGAAGTGCTTCCTATTTGGAGCAAGTGAAGTAATTCTATAATTATGCGTTGTCAGTTGCGAATTACAGCAACTAAGCATTAATTTTAATGTCAGATGCGGCAACTAGTTTCTTGAAATTCCATGAAAAATTTCGTAAGCCAGTTTTACAGATTGTCAGTTGACAAAAGAAGTGTCTTAGGTAGCGCTTTATATCTATAATAAATTAAAGATCGATTTTCAATGAGCGTATATAAAATAATCTCTCAAAGGCTTCATGAGCCATATCGGCTGTGGTAGAAAGTAAGAATGAAAAACGAAAATTTAAAATAAACGGCGCAGATACTAGGATTGCAAAACCGATCTTTATTGTGGTATGTATAAGTGTAGGAAGATGATTACTTACAGTCAAGACGTTTACGTAACACACACCAGGCCAAAGCTGCATGTTTTAAAAGCAATGATGTGTAATGAGCATACACTGTAATATGTTTTGAGTTACTTTGTAAGTAGAAAAAGATAAAGTATTTATTAAATGTGTTAATAATTAGAAGTCTGAAATTCCTATGTAATAACGAACTATATAAATATATAGTAAAAGAACATGGGGTAAGAAAGCAAAGGTTAATTTGAACAAGCAGGTTTTAATCAACACACAAGATATTGTAAACACGTAGAAAACATATATAACCATTTATGTAGAAATAAAAAAAAAACTTGTTAGATTTCAAAGAGTAGTAGTAGAGTATAGTAAGTTTGTATGTAAGTTGGACAGCCCTGCTCGTACGGATTAACAAGACACCTGAAGGCTCAGTCTATTTCACTAATTACATCATTTTCCAAATGCTAAAGAATCGCACTTTACGATAATATACGATGCAACGGAGGTAGAACCTTACATCGCCTTTGATAGACAGATAATCTTTACGGATGTGACTTTACCATAATTATAAGAACGATTCGAAATTTCCCAAAGTTTCAATCGAGAATAAATAGAATAAGCCCTCAGGTGTCATGTTAACACGTATGAGTTATAAATAACTGATTAAGAAAAATATACAACACATACCTGGTGTTAAGTAATTAGGGTCAATGGGCTTGGTTGAGTTGCTGCACTGTTCCAACTCTTGATAGTTGGTTAGGTGCATCCAGAGAGCCGACTTGCCCATCTTGTGCTGCACGCCGTGGGACCATAGCCTTTCAAGCAAATCACAGAGCGAAGCTATCATAGTACTTTCTTCTACTCCCGTTATCGACACTTCGCAACCTAATCCTAAGTCAGTTTCTTCTGTACCCATTTTTTCCACTAACATCCTTTTCGTTTTGCTTTTACATTCCTGTCGGTTAGAGAATATTGACGAGTGGTAAACAAAAGCTTATTTCGACAATTTATATTATTTTTTATGGTTAAAACAACAAGTGCTTAGAACATTCGTATACAAAGCAGCATATTAGGTTACCGCAAAATGACCAACTTCCGCAATTTAGAAATCTACGATTTCATTTTAATAGAAGTATAATAACTTATTTTTTATTACGCCAATACATTGTAGCGACTTAGACTAAATATATATACAATAAAAACTATATATTTCAATAATTTACTGAGAAGTGAATTTTAAATTTAGAAACGTATTTTTCAATTACTCAAGGACAGAAATATACATATTTAGACGTCACATTTTAGCGAACTCTAAGCATCGTACGGGAGTAACAAAGAGGGACTCTCCGCACTGCAACTCCAAAATCAAAAGCAAATAATAACTAAATTCCTTATTAATTTAAATTTTGAAATTATAACCTTTTATTTATACTAAAAGGCACCTCGAACTGATTAATTTTTACAGTATATTTTACAATATTTACACCCAGTTGCATAAACACAAACGTGACTGTAGTTTAAGAGTGACATTACCGCCACTTTAATTTAGAACATTCATTAAAATTAGTCGTCATTATCTGTGGCCAATGCCCATCGCATATTGACAGCAGCAGACGCGCTACATATTTTCATAAGGATTTACTAGAAGGATAACATTTATACCTTGAGTAGTTTTTCAACAAACGTCCTATTGTTCTGAGCGATGGCCGCCGGCGTTACTTCAGTGGACAGCTTTCTACTAATGTCACCCAAGAGCAATTCTGGTGGACAGTCTTTCACTTGCCATTTCGCGTTTTTTATGCGTTTTAAACTGTTTGTCCTGCAATTTTGACCTCAAATTTATCTAATCTTCGAGATAATTTCATAAAAACAACATCCAAAAGCAAGCACAAAAAGCAACAAACTAATATTGTGAACTTGTCTTCTAAAAAGTGCATTAGGAGTAATAAGGGTAGATCTATATTCAAATACTACAAATATTTCAACATCTTTATTGCTTATAAACACATTAAAGGTTCTCTATACATAAATATGAAAATTTTATTAGTAACTACATTGTTTAAACTTTATTTTTTTTTTAAATATTCAAATAATATAAAATGGCGATGTTTTTAAAACCATCATAATAATATTTATCATAAGAATGTAGAAATAAATATTTAATACGTATTAAAATCACATTTATGTCGTGCGTTCAGGATGCATGCAGAACGAAATATCACAAATAATTAAACGTTAAAAAATACTTTTGAAATGTTAATATCTACCTATATAAATTAAAGGTCGCTGCACACGTGACGGGCAAATCGGACGGGGTGCTATGATTTTATTTGAAGAAGATTTTCCAAACTCTAAATAGGTTATTTCTCGTCATGTATGCGCGTAAGCGCTTTAACTTATTATTCATTAAATATAAAAGACATAATCTATGAAATAGTGTCACCAAAATTTGATGGTTGAAACATAGAAACCAGATTCTTTGATTGCATGGTACTCTCCTAAAAACCACTTCATAGTATATTCATATTTCTTAGTATTGCTTTCAGACTTGATCAAACAAACATTCTACTGAAATACTGATTGCCTAATATGATGTGTTCATGTTTTTTTTTTATAAAATACGTAAAAATAGCAAATAACCCTATGAACGTTTGACCATGAGTCAATTAAATTTACCTTCCATGATAAGCCAGACGAATTACATCTGCAAAAAGTTTTAAAATATCACACTAACTTACATATACATAGGAGTATTTTTATAACAAACTAGATGGACCCGATAAAAAGGAAATCCTGAGACCATGGATCGTGGAGAAGTAACCACAGATCGATTTTTGTGTTTGTGTTTAAATATCTAAGATTTAGAATAAAAGTTTTGACTTTTGTTGATTACTAATATTGTTTAATAAGTATGATTTGAAAATCTCTGTGATTATGATGAGTCTGACATAAATCATATCTAAGATTTAGCATAATACTTTTGTTTTTGATACTGTTTAATAAGTGCCATTTGAAAATCACTGATTATGATAAGTTTAATATAAATTACTAGTGGACGCCCGCGACTTCGTCCGCGTGGAAGTCGGTATCCCGTGGGAGTGAGAAGTTTTCCCAGTAAAAAGTACCCTATGTGTTATTCTGATGTATAACCTATATTGCTGTAAAGTTTTATCCAAATCCGTCCAGTAGTTTTTTCGTGAAAGAGTAACAAACATCCATACATCCATACTTACAAACTTTCGCCTTTATAATATTAATAGGATATTTATATCTATTCTTTATTCAAATTTATAAAAATTAGAAACAACGAGAATAGAACGTATACCTTACTTTTACAACTTAATCACGAGGGTATTTGCACGTGCTTATGTTATTATTTTTTGTCATCTAATAAAAATTTGCTAAGTAAAAACAACATAATAGCGAGCGATTCATTATTAAAAGCATTCATTCTTATTATGCTAAATCATGGAACGCGATTAGTTCAGTTCAAGTAAAAATGTAATTTATTTAGAACCTAACTGAATAGAAGTGGAAGCAAATATACTCGCACAGATGCATATAGCCAATTTTGTCGTAGTAAAGTGAAACTAAAATGTTAATGATATCTAAGTTGGTACAAAGGACAACGTACGGAATTATTTCTGTTTGGAGACCGTGCTATACATGTGTATTAAAAATTAAAATAATTACTTGAACTGAACACAAAATACCCTTATTACACTACCAATTATTAATTAACTAATTGCATGTTAAATTCATATAAAGTGATTTCCATCATACATGCTTTTATTATATAAACATATGAGCAAATTACAAACAACATGCACAAAATATTTATTAATTTAATACTTGGAAGAACAAACATAATAAAATATTGCTTACATCATAATTTGCGTTAGTAAAATAAGTATAGTAAAATCACAAATTCAAATACATTCAATACAAATTATACATGATTAAGTTTTAATCAGTGCACATGATATTTTTATTTTTAAAATACATTTCTTTTTTCATTTTAACATATACAATATGAAAAGTGTCTGTTAAAACGTTTAAAAGAATCTTCATAATTGGTGAAGTTTTTAATGTACAAGATAGGAAAGGGATTCTTTCCTTTTTACATTAATATTATCAAAAATATGCACGGATAAAAAATCTTTATCTAAATGTTAAAAACAACGTAAAAAATATTAAATTGATAATCCATTTAAAATGAATTATAATTAACATTCAAAACAAACAATAACAAATATAGAAATTTACTAAGAGGTAACTCATTATTTTAATTTTTTTTTAAATTCGGAATAGTCAGAAATAATTCAAAACCAAGGGCGAGATTCTTATTAATGAAATTACAAGTATATTAAGATAAAATTAAAATACTATAGAAACGCTGCAACAAACGCTCACTCTCAGGAATGGTCACCAAACATGAATCTGTTTTAAATATTATTAAAAACAAAACAAGCTAAAGTAGGCTTAATAATGGACAGTGCGTACAGTGCAATATGAAGCTTTCAAATAAGCTGAATAGTTGTCAACGAGATGGAACAGTGGGACATTAATAAAAATATTATATCAAAGTTTTGTTTAGCAACGTTTAACTGTGGAGTAAATACATATTATATCATTGGTGTTAAGAATCTAAAGCTGTTTCAAATTTAATAAGTAAGATAGAATTCAATTCTGATATAGCAACTTAAAGTATAAGGGTCGGTGCAAATCTGAAGAAAATACATCGATTGTATCACTAAAGTACAAGTTAATATGCGACTGAATGAAAGTCTTAATGTTCTTTTGTCAGTTTTGACGTTTCGCGACGCATATTTCGTCAGTAATGCACCGAAACCTAAGCTACAAAACAAAATACAAACTCCAATTAAACATTAGATTATATCGTAATTAGATTTTATGATTGAAGTTGCTACACCAATAAACCTACTGTTTGTGTAAGATATATTTGCCATGAAAGCGTGTTGATTCGGAAAATAAATACAAATATTTACCATTGTTTAAATTTCTTGTTTAACACTTGGCCGCGCGATTTTTAATGGCAGTAAATACTGTAAATATTGGAAATAATAAATGACAAAACTTTGAGATATCTGAATGACTAAGAGGTAGTCGGATAAAATGTACTCTAACGGTCGTAAAGCCACATGATTTACATAAATCCTAGTTAAGTAAGAATTATTAAAAATATCATAACATTACTACTAGCCGTTCGCTTCGAGTTGACCGTCGACGACCGATATCGTTGTTAAATGACGTCATAGGCACATCAACTGGTACCGTCGACACAGAAATAACTGTACATAAACTCCGCTTAACTTTCCATCAGTTAAAAACAAATTGCAGGTTAATATTCTTAAGGTAAAGATTATCAAAAAAAATAAATATATAAAACCACAAAAATATAAATTCATAACGAAAACCGAAGTGGTAATATGATAACAACGAACAGTGCAAACGTGACGTGTAAAGCGTTAGGGGTGGGAGTGGCCAACCCGAAGCAAACAACTAGTACATGCACTATCCAGTAGTGCACATTCACTAATGACAGTCACTAACAAATGCTTAGGCTGATACACTGGCATGCTATCACATGAAGCGGTTTCAAACTTGCACAATAAACAATTTATTCGCCATAGATAATCGTTCGCGAACCATGAATTAATTAGAGACAGTGCTCACCGATTTAACATTTTACTATAACAAATATTCTCGCTGGCGTTTATCAGATATACAATTTAGCGTTAATCGATGTATAAAACAATAAAGAATATATGAGAGACGAAAATAATTCAATTAAAATGGACAGTGTATCTGCGATTATAGTTACTGGTAACCGTTACTGCTCTATATATCGACAAAAATTGTTTGCGCAATTTCGAATGTAAAAAACCTTTCAAATGTGGACTTTAATACGTTACATTAAGGTTATAAGTAGATATATACTAATCGTACATATCATGACACTCGAGATGTGTCACGCAAACGCGGACCTTTACGATTGGCCAAAATGAGCAACGTATAAATTGTATTGGTTGTATTGTACCAATATTATAAATCAACGGAATATCCGAAACGATGTCGTGACCATTTCATATTTTGTTGTAAATTGTTAAGTCGGTGTGCGGCGATCGGCGACATGCAAGCGTGAACACCGGTACCAATACAAACTTCACAGCGCAACAAGCCATAGGAAATAAAACAATACTATATCAACAGAGGCTGCTAAGAATCGTCATATTAAGACACAAAAATTATAAATTCGAACTGTCTTTACACTCATGATCTCAGAGTACTTATACAAAAGCCCTGATGTGGCAGCTAGCTTTAAAAGATAATTTTAATGTTTATTGCTTGAAGGGCGTTTGTTATATAATAATATAACAATTAGACTTTAGTTCCAATGAATAAGAAATAAACAGCAAAATCGTGTATTACAAAGTTTCGTTAGTGGTATCAATATTGGTGATCCACTTCGAAAGTATATACAAACGTTAATTTTGTAAACAAATCGGCGTTGAATGATTACTTAAAATCAATACATTAATTTATTTTTTAATTAAATGTAAAGACAAGTAACTCGAGTTAGCTGCATCAACAGAGATAAATAAAGTAACACCCAACAAATATGGCGTGCCGTAAAACTTCGTTTCCACAGATGAGATCAAACAATTTCGATAATGACCAAACATTGGATAAAAGGTACATTCAGTCTTATTTCAATATAGATGTAAAATATAACGCAGTAATTTTCCCGTTCAGTATATACATAGTTAATTGACATACTATTTGAAATGGTCAGGGTATAACCGCCCTACAAAAGATGTCCTAAAATAGACCTGGTATAAATTCACTGATCACAGTAAAAATATAATTAAAAATTATAATACGGAATTGAATTATTATATAAAAAACAAGGTTATAATTTTTGTTCTGAACTGGCAATTAAATATAGTGACCTACGATAAAACAACGAACTGTCACTATCAAATGTCTTATGTCATTTTGCTTCATGATTCAGTTTTTATTATATAATTTTAACTTTTCTTCTAAAAACATAGTGATTTCAGAGTAATCGAATAGTTGGATACTGCTTGTAGTTTATTCGAATATTTATAACTATACATATTGGGATATCGGCAAGCCATATTAGTTGTGCTTTACTGTAGGAGGTCCAACAACGGAGAACTAGCTCCCAAAGAAGAATTACGCGAACTAGTTACCACATTTCCCGTTCCGTAGTTCGTTAGTTCGTGAAAGAATAAGTAAAGGTGAAGTCGACCGAACTAACATCGTCTCGTTCAAAAAAATAAAAAGTATATTATTTATTGCCTAAAAATAAACCTAGTTATTCATATAAAAAAAAATGTATTTTTATATTTTTTTTGTCCAAAAATTTGATGTAATGTAAATGTACAATGTTCAATATTCTTTTCACAACAGGAAGAAACGGTATCAAAACGAGTGAACGAACTGCCTTAAAACAATTCAATAAAAGGCAGATCATTCGTTAACTCTTAAACTGCTCCTGCTGTTAAGAGCAAAGAGCTAGGAATCTAAACGAACTAACGAACTACTTCGTTCAGGAGTCACGAATTAACTCGTTTGATCTCAGTTGCGAACTATCTACGCCCAATACTAAAACTAGGCGTCAACAGAGGCGTGGTCGTCGCACCTGCGGTCGGCTGTGGGCGGCGGGGCGAGGGCGGCGGGGTCGAGGCGCGCGGGGAAAGCGCGATAGTACGCCGCACGATGCGGCAGACGCTCCGCCGGCGCTGCCACCTCCAACTCAGCCCGACCTCCCCCCGCCAACACACCCCCCGCCCATACACTATACCCCCGCGTCGCTAAGCCCCCCTCGCCTAACCGCCGTCTGCAATATACGGTGACCTTTAGGCCCCTCATAACCTCGCCGTCTGAGTCAGCGGGTTCACTGCTTAATGAATTTTTCCCGCGACAAAAAGATACGACTATGGAAATTTAAGCGACGGCGCAAACTCCAGTACATGCAACCCATATTTCAGCAGAATATTAAGTAACGCCATAGAGAATAGAAGAAGAATTAAAAGATGCAGTATTTGCTGCGACAGTTTAATAGAAGACGTCATAGAAGGTTAAAAATAGAAACGATGACCAGAAAAGGAAGACGTATGCGCAGCTACTTTGAACAAGTTAAGGAAAAAGTAAAAGTTATTCGTGTGTTAAGAGGTAACGATGGCCATCACTCCACTGGCACTGACACTTCATTTTTAAATATTGTAATGGTAATACTAAGTTGAGTTAGTTTAGCAGACAGTCAGCAGCTCATAAAAACCACATTATTAACAGTATATACGAACAGATCCAAAAGACCTCTGATTCATTCATTTAAACCCAGATGAAAAGGTTAATCCAATTATATGTTGAGTACAAAGCCTCATTTTGGTGACAGAGTCTGGGACAAAATACGTCTGTTTAAGGGCGTCTCAAATATTATTTATTAAATTAGTAAAAGTTAGTCCACAAAATGCACCCAAGCGGCGTGCAACCCTTGCGATTAACACAAACCTTTATAACCCCTAAACATCATTAAAGACATAGAAATTCACCCAATTTAAACCTTAACCTACATTCTCTCTTAACTATGCTTTTAGTAAGTAAATTGTGCGAGAATCCTGTACGCTTATATTTTTCAATACAATACAATCAGATGTAATAAAGTAAAAAATCCACTACATTGCACTTGCCCCTTAAAAGGTATGTACCTACAATTTATTTCTGTAACACAAATAGCCTTTATACCCGAAAATACAACAAAGAATATTTATATGAATAATATCTATACTATTTTTGAATTCATATCATATTTAAAATATACAATACTATATTTGGTATGATTAATCTTATTTTGTAGTTGTCGTATTTTCAAGGATAACTAGCAAAGTTATATTATACTAAAAATATAAAACAAATTACTAACCTGACAGCCTGTATTCTATGTTCAAGGACTTGCAAGTTGGCATCATATTCACCCCAATTGGCCATTATCTTGTTATCAATGAGAGTGGCGAACATCTGAGTCTCAAGGAACCTTGATAAGAATGGTCTGTGACGCTGTGGTTGATCAGACAGAAATGAAGCCTTATCGAAATTCACCATCGATTCACGCGATGACAGCCAAGAGTCACGGTCCTAAGAAATGTTTGTTTTACAAATTTCATACATTTCATCTATATAAATTTTATAAAGATGTAAGATTTAGATTGTTTGTTTGCATCAAACATGATCCGAATGTACTGGACCAAGTTTATTTTTTTTTAACCAACTTCCCACATCACACAGGGGTGAGAACAACTAGTTTTATATAAGTGGGACAGAGAAAAAAAGGAGGGCAGTGGAAGCCCGAAAAAAGAAGCGATAGAATAATACAGAGGGACTTGACTGCTCACTTGTGGATTTTTCCAGAAGTACTGTGTTACATCATAACTTTTTCTCCAAAAATCATAATTATTAAAAAAATCTGGCGAATATATAAAACGAAGTTAAGATATCATTAGAACCGATCATAATAGATCTATGAAATACAATATCAATCCATATAAATATGTTACTCACCTGATCAGGCATGATCACAAAGTTCTCATACATCAGGAACATATGCACAAACCGATTTAGGAATGTTTCTCTGATAACTATATTGAAGCGTATATCTTCGTTGTATTGTTCCTCGTCGTTGAGAATTTGTTTCTTCATAGTCGGCATTACGGTATCAGCTTCCATGTCGTCTATGTTCACACCTGGGTAACGATCAGTGTTATTATATGTTTTGAAAAAGAAACATGTTCTTTGTACAATTATCCTTTCATTTTTCTCTTTATCAGCTGTTCTCGTATTAAGAGATTCACTTTAATTTTTATTAATCCAGATAATCATGACTACGCCTTAACAAATTTCAGCACAGTCAGTTTTCAATTGAAATGGATGAAATACATACTCAATTATATAAGCAGAGTTTTATTTTCAAAATTTAAACTTTTAAATTTATATTATATTGAAATATTATAAACGGCCAGTGCTAAATACTTTCAGTGTTGCCCTTGTTTATCGTTATATCGCAGGGCACATGCCCTTTCTTCGATCGATCGAAGTCTATTTTAAATAGTTTTTAATTACCTGTTCGCTTGACGATATCGACGATGCGTTGCAACGCATCGAGTCTAAGGGGCGGCCGTCGTGTGGGTGAAGGGGGCGGTGACGCGTTCAGCGGTCGACTTTCATCCCAATCCAGTACATCATGAAACGAATGCTTTCGACGAAGCCCACCTGATAAATGTAAAAACTAATAAGATATATAGTATAAGTCTACACATATTATTATGTATGAAAGTAACATATCTTTTTTCAATCCAGTATGAACAGTGTAACACCACAGAATAATACAGCAGCGAATCTAAGAATTCATGTCCACACAGAGACGCACGCATCTACGTGGAATCTCAGGGGGACTCAAGGTGGGCTCAGTAGCGCTTGCTACGACAAGACTACGTACAGAAAGTGAGCGATCTCAATTAAATTGACACAAAAATATTGTATCGTATACGGATGTTTAAATACGACGTCTTCAAACCTAGACTTTTCGTTTTATAAATTACCTACTGATACTGAGAGATAAAAATAATATTTTATTGTTATATTCGACATCAATAGGTTTGTACAGTATGTATAGTCAGAAGGTTTATTTTGTTATGATAGTTGACAAAATGTGTTTACATAAATTACATAGTTACCTATATCTAATTGATTTAACAAAATAAAATTATCTTTAAATAATACATTTAACTATCTAAATTGGAAAATATGGCTACAATTTCGAAACTCTTTTTCTCCGGTTGTTTAATTTCGATAACCGAATGTCGTAAAATGAATATGACAATCAGGAAAACAACATCATTTTGAAATTCATAGTTATTGGACTGAATTGATTAAATCTAATTCAATTATTATGAAGCATTCAGAACGAGTCGCAACATACATACTTTTAGTGTGTAATACGAGGGTCAAACTGAAAGTTCTTAGAACTGGCCACTTATAAACAATATAATAAAAAAATAATTCTAAAATTTGAAAATATAACTCTTTGCCAATATTACTGAGTATATATTTCATTCATTTGTCATTTGTTTTACGATTTGGCGGCAAATTGAAAATTGTCTGTGTCACGTCATCATGAATTTAACACGAGAAAATTTTCGTGCAATGATTTTTTATGACTTTCGATGTCATTTAAGTCAACAAGAAAGTTATGATAGACTACGATTGGCCTTTCACGATGAAGCCCCATCTCGTGCGACTGTTTACAACTGGTTTAATGAGTTTATACGTGGTCGCACTAATCTCACTGATGATTTACGTGAGGGACGGCCTTCTACGGCGACGACTGAAGATAACATCTGTGTTGTGCGGCGTATGATAGAGACTGACAAAAGAGTGACCTATCAACAGATTCGGACAAGCTTAGGCATCGGTATGAGTCAAGTGCACAAAATCCTCCACGAACATTTAGCGGTCAGGAAGCTTTGCGCCCGGTGGATACCTCATAATTTGACTGAGGCTCAAAAACTCCATCGTGTGGATTGGTGTCGTAAAATGATTGAAAGATTTAACGGAGGTGACTCAAATGCTGTGTTCGACATACTAACAGGTGACGAAAGCTGGATTTACTGTTATGATCCTAAAACCAAAAGACAATCTGCTCAGTGGGTGTTTCCTTTCGAGGAGTTGCCAACTAAAGTGAAGAGAGATCGAAGTGCGGGAAAAAAAATGGTGGCCTCGTTCTTTGGAAGGATAGGTCATTTTGCAACAATTGTGTTAGAGGATCAAAAAACAGTTTCTGCAGAATGGTACACTACCAATTGTTTGCCACTTGTCTTGGAAAAAGTTCGAGAGAAACGACCTCGCAGTAGGATCCTCCTTCACCACGACAACGCCTCGTCGCACACCGCCAAGCGAACGATCGACTATTTGGCGACATCAAACGTTGAATTACTGGGTCACCCGCCGTATAGCCCCGACCTCGCGCCTTGTGATTTTTATTTATTTCCAAAAATTAAAGAAAAACTTAAAGGAAAGCGGTTTATGAATGCTGAAGAAGCGGTGGCTGCGTATCGCGATGCCATTGAAGAGACCCCTAAGGACGAGTGGGCAAAGTGCTTTTCCCAGTGGTTCCATCGCATGCAGCGGTGTATTGACGTGAATGGACAATATTTTGAAAAGATATAATAAAACTAATAACTGGCTAATGTAATCAGTTTTTGATTTTCTAAGAACTTTCAGTTTGACCCTCGTATATAGGTAATAACAATCATTTAAAATGTCAATGTTGTTTTATTACTAAATAGTTTTAATAAGAAGACGACCCCAACGTAACAAAACGTAGTGAAACTGATAATAACAATCAATAATAATCTTTTAAAATGTCAATGTTGTTTTATTACTAAATCGTTTTAAAAGAAGACGACCTTAACGCTCCAACGCAGCGTAGGTATTTATTTCCAGAAATTACTTCAGTTTCACTACTATATTATATTGTGATTACACGGTGTAGATTTCATATATTAGGTTCGAAACGTCAATAAAAGAAAACACAATTGCGATGAAACCGTTTAAAAATTGTTTCATTTATAGTGTAATACGGTATCTTTTATATATATTTTTATCTACACTCAGATCGAAAAATTCGAATTACGAATTCAAAGACGATTCTATACATACGTACTTTATAAACGCATATACATAAAATTAAAAATAAAACTCATTATAGTACCACCAACTGTATCATAGAACTCATTGTTTTTTTATTCATTAAACTAGTCATTACACAGACATTAAACAAACAGACATTCGTGTTTTAATACCCCTTCTTATATGACAGTTGCGTAAACTACTATTTTTAAATTGTATCTATTCATGAAGAAGTTGATTATTTCCAATAAAAATGCAATTCATTAGTGTTAATGTGGGTAGATTAATATATACCCTATATAGTTTAGAAATAATTGCTGTGTGCACTAATTGTGCGTAAGTTGATATCATAAAACTGAACATGCCTACGAGAGTGAATCTACAATTTATAAAAGTAAGACAATTTTTAAGGTAACATAAGTTTCGTTTTATTACAATGTACACCTAATGAATTACCTGAAGGCAATGTACAGCTGCTGCTCATATTATCAGCCATACTCTTATAAGAAGATCCATTCAATGGCACATCTAGTTTCGTTGGCTCTGTTTCTGGTCTTTGAACCTTGAAGTCAAGAGTTACAACTGTATTCTTATATAAATAAATACACTTAAATTACAAATACCATTGAAATTATCACTTTTAAAAATATGTAAATAAATTAAAAATATTAAATATAAGCTTCTTAATGTTCTTGGCTTTTATACAAAAACGTTATTAGGTGGTTTAAGTTATGAAATTAATTTATTCACAACATTTTCACAGTTAATTGTTTACCATCTTTAATGGGTACTAAAAATGTATACAAATTAATTACTTAATATGTAGACATAACAATCAATATAAAGTATATTTTAAATTAAAGATATCCATTATTTATCACTCCTAATTAGTGATTTTTTATAATTTATATCTGATTAGATACATATTTTAAAAAATAAATTCAATATTTTTGAGAAGAGGGTCACGTGACATCAAAGAAATATCCAGTGTGTGACGTCATTACAATGTATAGTATAAGCTGTCAGTGTTACTGTCAACACTAGCATATTTAAATTTATAAAGAGAGAATTCTGAACTTCTGCGCTCAAGCCGATTTGTTGCCGGGGTACTTTTTGATTGGAAAATATTTACCTGATGTTTATCTAAAATGTGATTAAGTTCTTCTATGAAAGGTGTCCGATGTGGGTATATCGGTAATTCTTCAGGTAACTGTATATCTGGTTTGTCGATGTCAACAAGACATAATGCTGCCTCTGAACCGAGCGCAATGTTCCTAGGACTGTTGGCACTTAAAGCACTATCAGCATGTAGACCTGTAAAGTAAAACGCTTAACTCCCAATCCTTAACAAACTTCCAGCTTGCATATACAAATTCGACACTACCCTATGTATGGCCCAGGTAAGGTTTCCTTTTTGAATTAGAATTCCATTCAGGCAATTCAAATAACATTCAAAACTATTGAGTAATACACATTGTCACTATGGTCTTTTTAACAATGCAATTTCACCAAAATATATCATATTATACAGCTTTCTTTAAAAAGCTAATGCAAATAGCAAAAAATGGAATGTGTCAACTGTTCATTATCCCGAGAAAATCATCATATAAATGTCGGTAAACATTTACACAACATTCGCGTTATTATTGAAAGCAGCTGTAGCACTGGGACTTTGTTTTATCCTATCTTACTAATACTATAAATGCGAAAGTTTGTGACATACTCGTATATTCGAATGTTTGTAACTCTTTCACGCAAAAACTACTGAACCAATTTAGATGAAATTTGGATTACGGATAATTCTAAGCCTGAATGGATATAGGCTACTTTTTATCCCACTAAACAGTTCACTTAAGACCCCGCAGAAGAAGCCGTTTGCGGAAAATTAGTAATTAGACAAGATAAGATTGATATTGTCATACCCATAACAAATGGCACTGGTGCGTCTAAAAAGTGATAGAGTGGCGCCGGTAAAATTGGTACATACACATGCGCCCATGTGAAAGGAAGTAGCAATGATACTATGCATTCCGCTACCAACATAAGCTTGTTGTAATCTGAAACAGAACACCATTATTACTGTTATTGTAATGATATAAACTCTCTTAGTATCGGTTTCGTACAAAAGTCAGTCGTATCTTCGGCAAATTTTGAAATATACTAAATATATAAATATAGAAACATATAAAATATACTACTTTATGTATATTCAACTACATAATGTAGTACATTTTATTTAAAGAATTTCAAACGTCGAAATCAAAATCAAGTGTTTAATTCGACGTTGCGAATTTGTGATGTATCTAATCTATGCATAGTTGCAGCTATAAAATACGTTATTTAATTTCTTAAAAACAGTACATACATCAAAAAACTTAAGTGACAAACATTTGTAACGGTGTGCCATGCCACCGTTTGTTTTCCTAGGTTTCAGTATGCAAACTTTTTACTTTTGAAATTCAACATCATTTCATTTTATTACTCGTCTTTCGTAATTTAAAATTTTGACTAATCAATTATACTCTTTATGGATGTCAGTTCGTAAGAAATTCTCCTATGCACAAGATGAAATTATAATACAATACAATATTAATGGTATAAATTTTACTATGTAATTTTAAAATAATTCATTTATTGTGATAAATAATGTGATATGGTGATACAAATTATATAACATATGTAACTACTAAATTGTAATCTGTATTTTGGAAGATCCAAAAGTTAACTAGAAGCCCGACAAGGGGTATGTATTCGTTTATTTGATAAGTATGTATTAGTTAAGTAACTTACGAACTGTTTTTATAAATTTATTTTTGTTTGTTACAGTTTTTTCTTATTACCCTTATTTAACTAATAAATATATACTCAAGCTAAGCAGCCTTATTAATTGACCCAAGCACCGAACCCGTAACACTGGCGCCGCAACGTGGTTGAAAAATAGGCTGACTACTGCAATAGAAGACAATAGTGCACACTTTACGACCAACACCACAAACACATTTACTCACATAATCAGACAATAGACGTTCAGCGTTACTTTGGCTGGTCACAAATGTGATCGGTTCTGATGCCATTGTATCGAGGAACATACAAACACGTACTCAACATAGTGTTATAAAACAGGAAAATTTTAATAGTAAATAATTTAATTTAGATTCCGTATATATAAAGGTACGTAAGCTATTATTTTAATTTTTTCAAAAATTTTATAAGATTTCTTTTTGACGAATAATATTATTTTTAATATTTAAAAAATAGAATATTGTAATTTATTTTCCGTTTACGATTTGACATTCATTTCTTTTATAATAATCAATTTTAATCATGGATATATCGTACTTGAATAAACCAGAAATTATTTATGAACTGAAATTACGAAACGCGAATTTTGAATTCACCCAAACGGCTCAAGAATTGCGTGAAATTTTATTACCAATGATAGGAGACCTTGAGAAATATTCTTGGATTACTTATTTATTTATTGTTAGTACCCTGTAAATACTCATAACGTTTTCATTTAATTATTTGGCTACTCATACTTATTGTTATTTTTATTATCTTCATAATTTATTATTTTCATCTAGTGCGGTTGACAACACTATAAATAAGCCAATGTCAAAATACCAATTTAGTGCGGATGACAACACTTTAAACAAGCCAATGTCAAATATCAATTTTAAAGTGCGGTTGATAACACTATAAATAAGCCAATATCAAAATATTTCTTTGTGTACTTATGTATACTTATTTACTTATTATCTAACACTACATAATGTATTGTTATACCTAATGCATTACCTACTTTATTTATTACTACGATTGTATATTATTCTACACTCTACATTTAGACACTTACACAACACACTCATCTACACTCAACAACACTACACAATTCACCTAAAGTCAGCGGGTGGTGACTGACATTATTTTAAAGAAGCCTACACTATTTTCTAGGTCGATTTATTAGAGATAATCTTTCTTAAATACAAGTTACCTCTAATCGCTAGGAATTTTTATCTCAATAAGATAAAGATTGTTTGAATGATGTTTGAATGATGAAGTAAGAACATTTTATGAAAGGGAAATCGCCTAATGTAATTTATCCACTATATATACCATCCCCATTTCTAAATTAAATCATGATAGCATTAATTAATCACATTTTATATAAAATATTTTAAGCTTGAGTAATCCAAGAATATCTAAAAAAAAATCTTTCAGATTTTTTTAACCCCGGCCCCCCCGGTATTGTAACGGTGTGCCATGCCACCGTTTGTTTTCCTAGGTTTCAGTATGCAAACTTTTTACTTTTGAAATTCAACATCATTTCATTTTATTACTCGTCTTTCGTAATTTAAAATTTTGACTAATCAATTATACTCTTTATGGATGTCAGTTCGTAAGAAATTCTCCTATGCACAAGATGAAATTATAATACAATACAATATTAATGGTATAAATTTTACTATGTAATTTTAAAATAATTCATTTATTGTGATAAATAATGTGATATGGTGATACAAATTATATAACATATGTAACTACTAAATTGTAATCTGTATTTTGGAAGATCCAAAAGTTAACTAGAAGCCCGACAAGGGGTATGTATTCGTTTATTTGATAAGTATGTATTAGTTAAGTAACTTACGAACTGTTTTTATAAATTTATTTTTGTTTGTTACAGTTTTTTCTTATTACCCTTATTTAACTAATAAATATATACTCAAGCTAAGCAGCCTTATTAATTGACCCAAGCACCGAACCCGTAACACATTGTTTATTGTCAATCTTTGGAGATAGAAGTTAGATTTATAATAACTGTATACTTATTAAAATTATATTTACCGCTCGATCTGAGTAGAACTTGATGTTCTAGAAGTACGCATGTAAACAGTTGCACCACACATTCAACGCCTAGAACTTGGAACATAACGCGTAAGGGATAATCCAGCAACGGTAACTCTTCAGGTGGGTTTGGCATTCTTATCACCTGTGGAGAGTAGTTTACAGATTACAATTTTTACTGCTATAGCTGTCAAATAATTAGATTTAGATATAAACCTTAATAATAAAGAATCTGAGAGTTGACAATATTTGAAAAGTTAGTTTAAATTAATTATTGGGTTCCAATAAGTTACCATAGTTTTTTAAATATAATTATAACGTGATTTCTTAATAACATTTTCAAAAACGCAGTAATTTGGTCTGAGACGTAATTGTTCAAACTGATAGCCATATGCTAACTAGGCTTGACGACTCACTTTGACAAAAAATTATCTTTCAATGAGGAAAAACGTTAGTTCCCGAAATTAAACTTGATGTCGCTACGGTACTTTCTTGATATTTCTATGACAATCCTTCCGGGTTTCTTTCATGTATAAAAGCAAATTAATTTTCAAAACTCAATAAACAACTTTATATTCTGTTTGTATTGATATCTCAGTTTCGAACTTTGCATATCTCAGTTTCGAACTTTGCAAATCTCAGTTCTTTAATATGTTAGTTAAAAGGAACAGATATGACTATCTTTGGTTCATTAATTTCCTGCAAAAACCTACTTTTGCTAGACTCGCCATCTAAAAAGGTGCTTTTTTAATGCTTTCTTTTTTTAATATGTCCTCATTTTAACTAATCATTTTAATACTAACTTTCCGCCAGCGGCTTCGCCCGCGTGGTCTTGTATTATACATAAAAATCTTCCTTTTGAATCACTCTATCTATGAAAAAAAAACCCGCATCAAAATACCTTGCGTAGTTTTAAAGATTTAAGCATACATAGGGATATAGAGACAGAGAAAGCGACTTTGTTTTTATGTAGTGATGAAAGACCGTGGATTTCGTGAATAGTAAAATACCTACAACAGGAAGTATTGTGCGTCAGTAACACATTCAAATTTATTAGTAGGGTTTAATGTCGTTTTCAAGTATAACAGCGATTCAAATAAGTGTAATACTGTTTCCACTACTTAGAATTTCAATTAAATTTACCAATTTCACAATGTTTGTAAAAGCTTTGGTGAACTATTGTTAAATATGGCGTATCGTAAAGTTCGAAACACACTGATCGACGGCTTGTCCATAAAAAAGAACGCTAAGTAAGGATTAGCATATACATCCGTAGACAACGACGCAATGAACGCGCTTCGGCAGCAGATTGACACGATTGATAAAGATCGACAGCTTACGTCAGCGATCGACTTTACTTGTTTGAATATTGTAAAAAACAAGAAAAAATAGCGGCGACAATTCGAAAATTAAACTCTACTAGAGTTTTACTTTTCTATTAGCAAAGTGTAAACGACAAAATTTGATCAGTGTGATTGACCCTTACAAAGATATAATTTTAGGTACTGACACGAAATTCTTTAGTATTGCAAATGCGAGACGAAGTTAAAATTTTAAAGGAAGAATGCCCGTGTTCATAAACTTAGGAATTGCCCAATTCTGTCGCCTAAATATTTACGAATCGCCTAAGGTAAAAATTCATTTCATCAGGAAACACTTAACGAAATTAAGCAATGTCTAAATTCATGATATTCGTTATGCGGCGCCTTGCGCTAGGCATTTGCGTATATGACAGGTCATAAACATGTCAAGGGATAAAAGAAAAAAATGTTTATTTGGAATTAAATTAATCTACTTAGGCGAATTACTTAGGCCACTTAGGCTACTTAGGCCTAAAATAATGAGTAGCTCGGTGGCGTAGTGAATTAGCGCCGCGGCCCGTGATCGTAGTCGTAAAGCAACTTTCACAAGGGTCGGTCACGGGATGGGTGACCAAAAAATTATTATCTCGAGCTACTCCGTGCTTCGGAAGGCACGTTAAGCCGTTGGTCCCGGCTGCATTTGCAGTCTTTAATACCCTCCAATCCGCATTGGGCCAGCGTGGAGGGTCATGGCCCATCCTCCTTAACCATCCATAAGGAAGGCCTGAGCCCCTGCAGTGGGGACGTAAAAGGGCTGATGATGATGACTTAGGCGAATCTTAATATTAGGCGTTTCCTAGTTAAGCTATGCCTTGTTGCAGATTAGTGAAAATGGGTGGAAGACTGTCATGCATATTTGTATCTTTCTACTTACAACAGGAATCGGATCAAGGTGAGGTTCAGAGGGTGGCACATATAGACGTAATGCTTGACCCGGCAGTGGCACTGGAACTTCATAAAGCAAATTGTAGACATAAGACTCTGGACTTAGACCTGGCCCAGGCTGACGCGGTAAAGATCTGTGAAAGTCATTTGTAAATACATATTTATTATTCATCTTTTTTTGTCAATAAGTTAAGGTCAATGACAGGTATGTTGAATAGACTGTGTCACATTTCACTGAACATAAACAAATCTCCCGCAACTCATGCTAATTGATTAGGCAATATCTTGAGCGCTTCACACGGCGTTTCAAGGTGTCACCAACTCTGTGCTCTTGGGTTTGACTCCCAGCGGGTCAAAATAGAAAATGGTTTTTTCTATATTGTTGGTGGGTGTTGTGGACCTTCATTGTTTCCAAATACAATAGCTAATTGATATTGTTTTGGTAATACCATTTTTTTGCAAATGTTGACACAGAGCTGGTGAGTTTCGTGTGCATGTTATGTTAAGTGAAAATAAAATTACCTGATAGGTAAAAAAAGATTTGAAGACACAAAAGTGCTTTCAATTAGGTTTTTTTTTATAAATAATATCTTGACATGGATTAGTTTATTTTTCAATTATTAATTAAAATAAATATTTTTTTGTTATTTAATAGGGTTAAAGTATGAAATTTCCGATTTGTACTGAAATCAAAATTGTTTAATTTTTAACAAATTTATTTAATCAATATTTAACATTATTATCTATACATTGCTGCCATCTAATTGGAAGGTCATTTATGCCTTTGCGAAAGAACTCTGAGAATTTAAACTGCACAAACTGTGTGAATGCATTTTGTACTGCCTCCTGGGAAGAAAATTTGTCACATAGATAATTGTCCAAATCACGAAAAAAATGGTAGTCTGTTGGAGCAATGTCTGGTGAATACAGAGGATGAGGAATGGTTTCTAACTGCATTTCTTGAAGGGTCAAAATGGTTTCTCGTGCTGTATGAGGTCTCACGGTGTCATGGAGCAATAATGGTGTGACTCATGAGTCGGGGCTGTTTTACTGCTAGTATTGCCAACATTGGTCGTAATTCGGCTCAAAAGACATCTACTGTTATTGCTTGACCAGATCGGAGAAATCTTTAGTGAATTACACCATGCTGGGACCACCAAACAGTTACCATTACCTTTTTATTGGTAAGTATTGCTTTACGATACTCTTGTGGCGTTTGACCTGGGGTCAGCCAATGCATTTTTCTTTTACGGTTATCATAAAGAATCCACTTTTCATCACATGTCATCACAATCGATCCAATATTACTTCATTTCTGTACCGATTCAATAGGCAGCCATTTTTCGTATTTTTAATTCATCTGTATTCATCTGTGTGGCCGGTCTTCCTCGTGGCTCGTTCTTCAAGTCGAAGTTTTAATCACGAAAGCGTTTAAACCAAAATCGCACGGTGCGTTCATTAGCAGACCCCTCTCCAAACGCAACATTTCAAAAATCACTCAAATTTTTGCAGTATCTATCTTTCTTGTCTAAGTTGAATAACAACAATTAAAAGTTGATGTTCAAATGATTCACATTTTTTAAAACAAGAACACCATTTGTTAAAACTTTCTTTCTAAAACCTCAAACCATGTAGATTCTATGTCGATTCAAGAAACCTATTACAATAAAATGGCAATTTCATACTTTAAACTCTAATAAATAACTGAGCTATAAATTTTGTTTATTGCAAAAGTGTGTGACTTATGTTTTTTTTAAAGCCTATTACATGATGTATTAACTTCCATAAAATTATTATATGAAATTTACCAAAGTAAATTTAAAAATACTATATCAATGCTCACCTAAATAAATTTTCTAAAAATAATTGTGCAACTCTTACATACGGGTACTGGCATATAAGAGATATGCTTTTGGCTACATATAGTTTATCTTTGGCTATATCATAGTATGTTAGTGCTGCTCCACTATGTGGAGCAAGTTTGAAAGATCTTGGTAAGGACCTTGAACTCTCTTTACCAGTACCCTTCCTATATCCAGGGGGTGTTTGTCCACTTGAGAGTTCTGTGATGTACATTGCCTGTAATGCAGAAAATGAAATAATAAAAGATAAAAATATATTATAAAGGTATGACAAGGATTAACCTGCTTTAATTATTTTTTAAACTATTTGCACCAATACACACTTGTTTTAGTATATAATTGCTAAGGAAATTGGTTAGAATATATGTATTGAGAGTTTACTACATATGTTTTGCATAGTATGTCTGTAATAATTATGTATAATGAAAATAGTACATAATGTGCACAACAAGTTGAGACTCGGTGATGTCAGTGTTAAAAATACAATAGATCAATGTCTTTAAAGTTGCACTATGCTTGTTTATGTTTTTGCTGTAAGATTTTGATGATTCTTTAAAAGTTTTATTTTGTTTATATGTATAATGTGGAATACACTTTCTTATTGGTAGTGGTTGATATCTGTTATTGCTAAACTTTGTCAATGTTATTAAAAAAAATAATAGATTGCAATGTCTTAAAAAAATGTTATAGAACAAATTTTTGATGCCTGGTAATACTCATAGGAAGTTTTTTGGTGTGCTATAAAACACTTTAAATTGCATTTTTCATGAAACAATGAGTAGGAAACTTAACTATAATGCATTTATTATATTTAAATTTATATTATATATTTGCAATTGAAAATTTCATCGTCACATATACACCTTATATCTAATTTTCTTTGAAATGCATTTAAAAAGTTCATTTCCAATAAACATATACCTGCAATGTATGCATTGCACTACATATATTTCTGTTTCGTACTTCTTCATAAAAGATGAGACTAAATCCATAGTATCTAGATGCATTTTCTCTTGTCACTACAAAACTATGAAATTTTGGTTCTAATGAATGCTTCTGTGTTCTGAACTGCAGACCAGCAGGTAGACATAACTGTAAAACAAAACATTAAATACATAACAAAAAAGTGTATCTTCGAAGTATTTTTAATAACAAAATATATTATCTTACCATGCACACAGCATGCTCATCAAAGGGATTACTTTGTATATTGTCTGGGTAATGTGCTAATACCTTCCCTTTATATGAGCGGTCAAGAGGCGAAACATGTAAATTATCACCTAAAAACGATATGTTTACGTTATGAGTTCAAGAGATATAAATAAAATGGATCAATACTTTCATCTTATTTACATTGTACACTTACCACAAAGGCGATCAGGTTCTAATCCTGAATCAAAGTCAAGCCCACATATAGCAAAATAATCTGCAAATCGACATCCTACCGATAAATCAGTGACAGACATATTTCTATCGACCCGTTATTTACTTACTGAGATACTTTCTCTTTGAGACACTCTTTGTATGTGTAGATTCAACATTTTACAATTCACTCAATATATTATTAAATATCAATGTACGAATTGACCTCATATAGCATCGAATATACAAATACACGATTACATTATTTATTCAAACAAATCTTAATAAATTAACACAAACTAATGGAAAAAGTAATCTCTTGCTTGGTAAGTCAAGTAAGTACGTCAAACCACAGACCACTTAAACATAGTCAGAGGACAAACTTGAAGAAAAAGAGTAAATGATGTACGAGGAAGTATGGACTTATAGTGTGCGCGCAAGTACTAGTCACTGCCTAAGGTATGTGAGCGGCAGGACGGGGGAGATAAATGAACGTCAAATCTGACTCAGTTTGCCGTCGGGTCATCAATTCTCAGACAGATTCAAGAGCAGATAGTTCCTAGTTATCGCGTAACGAATGTATTTAGAAATGACCTAATGAAATGATTCTTGAAATACGATAAAATAAAATAACTCTTTTAGATTTTTAAAATACACTTAAAGTTCAAAAATACACATAAATCAAATCGATTCTCCTACATAAACTTTCTAAACAAAAGTATATTTCCTTTATTGTATTAGTCTGTTCTATACACATGCTTAATGCAATTTAGAAAAAGGCAACATATATTATGATTTGAAAAAAAAAATTACAGAAACCAATTTTACATTTTCACTGGTCAGTTCAGTAAAGAATTACACATGTCTACAGATAAATTCTTAATATGATGCAATGTTTAACTGCCTTCTCCTATGTAATGATTGTTGTTTTATTTTTTCCAGTTGTGAATTATGGGTAAAGTATTGTTATCCAGAGCAAGACTGGTCTTCGTCTTAATTTCAACATGATCTTTGTGCTAAACATAAAGTGCTTTGTAGTAAAACTCACGACGGCGGGCGCGTCGCGTGCGCGTGAACGCGAGGGCACGTCACATCGGCGCGTGCGTATGAGTCTCACTGCCGACACTGTCGCGCGCGTCGCTCGGTCCCGGCGGGGCGGCGGGGGCTGTGGCGGAGGGCTACCGGGCGCGGCGGGGATGCACGGTGGTATACGCAAGAGAAGACGTTTTCATTGAAGTTTTATTTTAAAAAATGTGTCCATATTCTACCGTTTCGATAGGGATAAAAATATTTAAAAAAAAAAAATTAAACTAATTATGGAAAAGTGTTCCATTACTGATACTGAATCACCAAAAAAAAAAATTTACACTGGAAAAAAAAAAATCCTGTATATAAGAACAATAAATAGTTAAATATGTCCAGAAAAATATATACAGAGCATATGTATCTAAACTTTTGTGTGTGGATATCTACAATTTAAAATTAATTATATTCCGACTAGGGCACGGAATACCGGAATGATTTTCATACCGGTATTGATACCGGTATTAGACTTTCAAATACCGGTATACCGGTATATTTTGAAATTACTGCTAAAAAACAGTAACTACTGTTTAAATAATTTAAAGAACGTTTAGTAAGTCTCCAAAGTAAAAACACTGAAACTATTCACTCCCTAGAAATCAAAAAAATAGTAGGTAATTAATGTAAGGTTATTAATTAAGACATACTAAAGAAAATACGTTCTTTGATCCTAGTATCGTTCATTTATTGTTTAATTGGCACAAATATCGGAATCAGCTCTCTTATAATAATAGAACTTATAACATGTAAGTTACAAAATTTTCAAACAAAATCAAATTACAAATGATGTTACTTATTTTAAAATTATTTTTATGAAAGGTGCAATTCAACTTAAATCTCAATCAGGTAGATCGCGTTTGTTGTAAAATTGAACGAAGAAAACACGATGCGTCCAAAGTTGCGTCGTTCAACGATGATCTTATTTTGTTACAAATGTAACTTGCAGATGAAAACGCCCTTTCTGATTCAACGCTGGTGGGAGGAATGCTTAATAGGTACTTGTAAGCTGCATCCAAAAATCTGCCTCTAGTACCTCCATTTTAAAAAGCTGGTGGAGTTAGAGTAGTAAACAAACGGCAACGTGCTCTCGCTTCAATAATATCAGCAGAACTGACTGAGAAAGCCGCGAGCCGGCGGCGGGCGGAGGGAGGGGAAGGAAGTGGCGTGCTCGGCGTGCGCGTCACATGATTAGTGATGGGACTGGATACTCGAATCGTTTTGAATCTACCGATTATTTGAATCGATAGTTGAACCCTGGGGATGGACATAACATAGGCGAAGGCGTCCTTATATATACAACTGCTGGGTGTGGGTTCCATAACGTGTACAACTGTGCTGTGAAATATAAAAAACCGGCGAGTGGAACTCGCGCACGAAGGGTGCCATTGGAGAATAATATTCTTTATTTATTATTGATTTAAGAACCAATTCGGTGTGATAAATTAATAAAAATATTTTGCTAGCTTTCATAACGGCTGAGATATTCCAATTTTTGACACTTTGTTGTATCAGCGCCACTTAGAGGATAAAACTTGTAACAGGTTTTAGTATTTGTTTTTGTAACGGCAACAGTTGTACACATTCTGTGAAAATTTCAGATTCCTAGCCGCAGCGGTTTCGGAGATAGAGCCCGCTGACAGGCGGAGACAGCGTAGTCTACTCAGTCATACTCAGTCCTTTGATCTTTTGGTACCCTAAAAATATGTGTGAAAACGTATCAATGACTTTTAACAGCTGATATTGCAAAAATATAAAGCTTTTTTAAAATACCGAAATACCGGTATTTTATCCTCAAATACCGGTATCAAAATACCAAAAAAATTGTCCGGTATACCGGTATTTCGGTATACCGGTATACCGGTATCCATGCCCTAATTCCGACGTAATTCGTTCATGATTAGACAACAATAGCATCAAGTTTGTACACACATTTCGCATTTTGTCGATATTGAAAGTATAATGAGGAAGTATTTAAAAAAAGAAAGCACTATAAAACCACCTCTACTAGATGGCGACTCTAGCAAAAGTTGATTTTTGAAGGAAACAAATGGACCAAAGAGAGTCATTTCCGTTCCTTTTAACTAACATATTAAAAACTGAAATGAAAAGTTCGAAAGGGTTTAGCCGGATACGTATGACGAGTCGGCCCCCAAATGGGAATCGATATTGAAACTTATGTTTTAATATAGACTTGATGTTCAAACACGATTTATGTACTTTTCGTGACCGACTTCCGCTTTGACCTTGAGATAGAGAGCAAAATATCCGTATGCTTGACTATTACTGAATGTGATATATCTCTGAAGCTAATTAAGATAAAGAAATGAAACTAACGTGAGGTGTTAGGTTACATTACAGAGTATATCACATATATTTTTTTATAATTTTTAGAATAAAAAATTACATTAAAAAAATAAAAAAACATGTTTTTTTTTCTGAGTTCTCTGTGACTTACAATCACGAAATTAATATATGTTATGCTCCTTTGTGTGCTCTATCACCCATAAAAATTGCGTGAAAAAAAAGTTGGTGCAACACAACGAAAAAAAATTATATGTGATTTCTGTCTTATGGTATACCCCTGTATTATAATGTTTTCACATTACATCACAGAACATAGAGAGAGAATAGAAGTAGTAAGTGGGCGGGGCACGCGTCGCTGGCATATGCGCTTTTACTCATATGACGCCCTTTCCTCGGTTTTATGTTTGCCAGTCGTTCGTCAATCGTCGAGTGGTGATTTTACAGATTTTTTCTATAAAAAATGCCGTTTTGTGCTATTATCACTTGCAAAAAGCAAAGCAAAGTATACAATCTAACTAATGCAAACATTTCCTTTCACTGGTAAGTACAATTTTAGTGCTAAAATATAAAAAAACGTAATAATTTGACACAATGTTAAATAAAATATACATTGATTGCTCAAACCAACATCAATGTTTCTGACCCCATTACTAAACAGCAATGTAAATCATTTTGTGCACTTTTGCAAAAAATAGTGCTGTGCCTCCATTTGTCTGAAATGTACCGATAGGCTGCTGCTGCTCGGAATCGTATTGTTAATTATATGGATCGTAATCGATAACTAAAACATATTTATTTAGAGCTTTTCTTTCATCATTTCATAACAACGTTATCGATAAATATATGCCATAATTATATAAAACTAAAAAATACTGTTTACAAGGGAAAATTATAGATGAACTGATACTGAACAAATGAAATAATGAACTGTCCAGGCACTTTTTTTACGAAGATTCGGTTAATTATTTACACGCAGATAAATATTAAAAATTACTGATGTGCTATAAATATCTAAGTTACGAAGTATATCACCGTTTTATGAACAATACATAAATTAAACGAAACTTCGTGAAAAGCTAAGAGTTGGCCTAATAGGTCTTGTTAGAAACTGGTGAAACTGGATTTCACTTATTTTGCATTACTTATATTTCAGTTTCCCTAATAACTTTACAACGGATTGCCTTGTTTACATAATTAATTTTGCCCTATCTGTTTTAGACCTAAACCTATCAAATGAATTTCAAAACAACATAATATCTATACAAACAAAAAATTATGTTTTCAACTAACGTAATATTGTTGGTGGTGTGAATTTAATTTACAAAATTAATTTTTAGGCGTCAATTTAATTTACCTTATTATGCTGATTCATAATCGGAAACTATTATTATAGAAATCGAGTTAAGAAAGCCACTTTAAAGAACCGCCCACAGAACAGCTTTTATCAGTTTTTTTGTTGCTCCATATTTGCACATAAGTTTATAGACGCATGTCTCAAACGGATGTGACTTTATATGTAGATTGACGTTTGTACGTACTTATCGCTTTTGTGTCTATCTTCAAACTTTTTTTGTCACGGCTTTCAAACTCATACTTGACCAGCAATTCCTTATTGTCCAGTCGTTGCAATTAATAATGTAGCTACTACTATTATTACAGATATAAAACTTAGAATAATAAAGTAAAACAAACATGGCTATGATCAATTTATTAGTGT